CAGGAGCACCTGCAAGAGGCAGCCTGCTCGCGCCAGATTGTGGGCCGCGACGAAGCCAGCGCCGCTCTCCAATCGCTGTTGCACTACCACCATGGCGAGACTGCCCCAGGTGCTGTTGACATCACCGATGGCTCAGCATTTGACTGGCTTCGATGGGTGGCACATATCGAAGGTGCGCGCGACGTCATCCGCAATGGCGTCCACAGGGTCTACGCTGTCCGCTGGAATCCGCACTGGGCTCCAGAGGCCGTCTTCTGCTACGGCAACAACACCTACAGCACACTGGTGCCCCGCAAATCGCGCTACACAGGCTCGTGGAGCCACGCGCGAATTGTGACTCACCGGAACGCCAATTGGGTGACCGAACCGTTGCTATCTGCGGCCCCTGTGGCAGCTACGCCGTGGCTGGTGTTGCGGGATCAAATAACCTGGGAGTGATCTCTGGCAAACGAGATGTGGTGCTTCTCAGCCTGCACTCATGTGACACGCAATGCCGTGCCCTGCAATCGCGTGGTGTTTCTCAGCCTGCACTCGCAGGTCCTTCGGAGGTCAATTGTTATGAGTTCGGCACGGTCTCGGTCAAGTACAGCGTGCTGTGGGGATCCCGAGATGGGGCCTGGCTCAAGGTGCTCAAGACGTACTGGAGTGTCCCAGAGCCGGAGTGCCAGCTGATCCTCGGGAGTTGGAACGGCATTTTCAGGCCGTGGCCGGACACGTTCTGGATCAGGACGGGGGGGTCCGAGCCCGAGATAGATGCTAGCGCTCTGCAGTACAAGTGCTTTTCAGCATGCGACATCCTGCGGTGCTTCTCAGCCTGCAGGGTTCGCAGCGTGCGGTTTGCAATGCATTCCTTTTCAGTATGCGAGTTCCTGCGGTGTTTCTCAGGTTGCAGGGCTCCGAGGCTCTTCCCTTCGATGCCAATGTTTTCAGACACCGTAGCTCCGTTCCGTAAACATCTTCCAAGAGCCGCTCGCAACTTTTTGCAGCTGGCGGTCTGCAGACGTAGTCTGTCTCAGCATGCGAGCTCCCGCACGCTTCGCCGGCTTTTGCTGCGCGGACAATTTTCTCACACACGTCAGCGCCGTTTGTAGGCGTCAGAAAAACATGTAGACATTCACGAAGGGCTCAGTCTGTATATCGTCACATCATTACATACGCAGTCGTCGAACACATCGGTGTACATTCAGCGCTTTGTCCTTCTAGCTGGGTCGCTTCGTGCTGAGGCTGAGGCTGATGCAGGCTGAGGCTGAGGCAGGCTGAGGCTGAGGCCGAGGCCGACGGCAGACTGAGGCTGAGGCTGAAGCAGGCTGAGGCTGAGGCAGAGGCAGGCTGAGGCTGAGGCTGAGGCTGAGGCTGATGCTGAGGCAGGCTGAGGCTGAGGCTGAGGCTGATGCAGGCTGAGGCTGAGGCAGGCTGAGGCTGAGGCCGAGGCCGAAGGCAGACTGATGCTGAGGCTAAAGCAGGCTGAGGCTGAGGCTGAGGCAGGCTGAGGCTGAGGCAGGCGGAGGCTGAGGCTGAGGCAGGCTGAGGCTGAGGCTGTGACTGCGACTGCCGTTGCCACTGCGACTGTCCTCGCGAATGCGACAACGACTGCGAGAACAGCAGAATTCTACAACTGGATTCTCATCCGAATCTTAAGGGGAATGCTTCCAGATATGCTCCTACACATGGCTGTTAGGTTGCTTTGCCGGGATAATTCTGGAATGGTTCTCGGAGCCACGGCGCACATTGCACCGAAAATCTGCAAACACGGCGGCGGCTCGGGCGGCGGCAGCGAGACCGCGCCTTCGTGTCCGAGCTCTTGCAGCGCTCCAGCAGCTTGGCCCCGGCGCACTGCTCGTTCACCCCCCTCCTATTGAGGGCAGTATCGAAGTCTCTCGGGGATGTGCGTCGAAGTCGAAACCCATCTGAGGCGTCTCAGGAGCGCCTGGGGAAGGGCTCGGGAGGCCATCGGGGAAAACCACCGAAGACGCCAGGGAACGCAAGGATCTACAAGGAGGGCCCAAGAGAGCTTGAAGAAAATTTGGAATTCAGTAAAATCTTAAAAGAAACCGCTGTTGGGTCGGCCATCACCTCCGGGCACGCCTTGATGGTGCGATCCAGTCGCATCGCCGCCAACGGGAGGGTTTGTGCGCCAAGTCCCATTCTGCTCGCCCAGAGGGTCTGTGGTCCGAAGAGTGCGGGGGGTGTCTAGGTCATATCAATTGGCTGCTGTCCCAGGGGTCCGGTCTGGTTGGCCCGAAGAGTTTGCCAAGGCCCCTGGGGGAACAGAATGGCACAGCATATCGGGCAAAGGGGGGCGGTACCTGGCCTGTCAGACCCGGCGTTCGTCTTCTGCCCAAGCGGCGCGGGGCCCACGGGCCCCAGGGTTGGCGGCCCGCTGGGTTTCCTCTTGTTCGCCCACAGGGTTGGAGGAGGCCTCCAGGCGAACAGGATGGGGCAGGACAATGAATGTGGGAGACTTGTCGCGAGCTCCCAGCCTCCCCAAGTGTTCGCCCGAAGGGTGTGGGGCCGTGTTGGCTCCCTCAAAAGGCCGTCTTGGAGCCGTCTAGGCCCGTCTTGAGGGCGCCGTTTGCCGTGATGGGGCCGTCTTGGTTCGTCGTGGGCCCCTCATGGGCGCGTCCGTAGGCCGTCCTGGGCCCATCGGGGTCCTTGTTGGCACTATCTTGGGACTGTCTTGGATCCGTCTGGGGCCGTGAGGGGGCCGCCTTCGAGTCGTCTTGGGCCCCTCCTGTGCGCCTCCTTGGCCCGTCCTGGGCCCAGCAGGGGCCGCGTTGGCACCCTCTTGGGGCTGTGTTGGAGCCGTCTTGAGCCGTCGCAGCGCGCCTTGGGTTGTGCTGGGGCCGTCTTGGCCCGTCTTGGGGCCTTCCTGGGCGTTTCCTCGGACCCTGCTAAGACTTTCTGGGGCCTCTTGGGGCATCCGACCGCCGAAATGGCGGGAAACGCAAAGGCTGTAACAATCTACAATGGAAAATAAACGATTTTTGCCAGCTGGGGCTCTCTTGCCATCTTGGCCCGTCTTGAGGCCCGGACTGGGCGCCTCCTTGGGCCTATCTGTGGCCGTATTGGCACCCTCCTGGGACCGTCTTGGAGTCGTCTTGGGCCGTCTTGAGCGTGCCTTGGGCCGTGCTGGGCCTGTCTGGGGCCGTGTTGGCACCCTCGTGGAGCCGTCTTGGGCCGTCTTCAGCGCGCCTTGGGCCGTGCTGGGGCGATCTTGGCCCGTCTTGGGGCCCTCCTGGGAGCCTCCTGGGGGCGTTTTGGGTCCTTTTGGGGTGGCCTTGAAGTCTTCCAGGGCTGCTTCGAGTGTCCGAAAGCTGAATTGGCGGCAAGCGGGAAATCTTTGGAAAAGCCTAGGACAACAAACGATTTTGATCTCTCCGGACCCTCTTGTGAGACCTTTTGGAGGCCTCTCGGAGCGCCTTGGCGCTCGCTTGGGTCGTGTCGTGCCCATTTGAGGGGCCTCGTGGACGCTCTGTGGGGCTTCCCGGAGCGTGCAAGGACCGTCTGGGGCCCTCATGCCGCCGTGTGGGGCCCTCATGGCGCCATCTGGGGAGCCTCCAAGGGTCCTGGAGCGCCCGAAGGGCTCCCGGAGCGCTCCGGGGCGCTCTGGACCGCTCCCCAAAAGACGAGCATGGAAGGGCCCCAGAGCGTTGAAAACAGCTCTTGTGGGCATGTGGTCTGGCCCTCGCATCTCGTCCGACCCCGCTCTCTTAGAGGCAAGGTGGAAGCCACTTCGGGCCTCTGAGGGGCCGTTTGGGGGCCTCTTTCCGGCCTCCCGGGAATCCCTTGGGTCCCTCCTGGGCCGTCTTAAGTGCCTCTTGGGCCGTCTTGGGGCCGTGTGGGGCCGTCTTGGGTGCAGCTCGGACCGTCTTGGGGCCGTCTTGGGTGGGCTCTCTGGAGCCGTCGCGGGCGTCTCTGGAGCCGTCGCGGGCCCGCCTCGGGCCGTTTGGGGGCCCTCCTGGGGTGCTCCGGGGGCGTCTGGGGGCGATCGGGAAGGCCTTTCTAGCCGTCTTGGACGCAGTGAAGACGAAAAGAGCGAGCATATCAAAAATGTCGTTTTCCGAAGGGAAGGGACTAATTTTTGCCTCTTGGGTCCCTCCTGGGGGTCCTCCTGGGCCGCCTTGGGAGCCTCCTGGCCTGCCTCGGAGGCCTCTGGGGCCGACCTGGGCTCGGTTGGGTCCCTCTTGGTCCGTCCGGGCGCCCTCGTGGGCGTTTCTGAGCCGTCTCGGAGCGGCCTGGGGGCTCGCAGGGCAGCCTGGAGAGCCTGGCGGACATTTCAAGACAGAGGACCTTCTGGCACGCATCATGGCCTTCGGAGCGCCCCCAGGGGCCCCCAAGAGGGCCCCAAACCGCTTGTACTTGATATGCTTCTTGGGCTTGCGAGAGGGGCACCCAAGTACATGCGTCATGGCGCCTTGTCGGGGCCCTCTTGGGGCCCTCCTGACCCCCTCTTGGGGCCCCTTGGGAGCGCTCCCACCCTGTCCTGGCGCCCTCCTGAGGTCGCCATGGGCGCCTGAGGAGCCGTCCTGGCGCAGTCTTGAGCCGTCTTGGGGCCCTTCTGGCAGCCTCCTGAAGCGTCTCGGGACGATCTTGAGGGCCTGTGTGGCCGTCTTGGACGCTTCGAAAATGAAAAGCACGGAAACTCCTCATATGTACGTTTTCCCTAAGGCTTGGGACGATTTTTCTTTGTTCGGGCTCTCCTGGGGCTCTCTCTGGAGCCCACTTGGAGCATTTTGGGGGCCTCTTGGGCCGTCGGGCGGCTGTCTTGGGCGTCTTCGAGCGCTCGGAGCCCATCTCGGAGGCCCTCTTGGACCGTCTTCGGCCGTCTTCGGGCCCTCTTGGGGGCCTCTGGGGGAACGCTCTAAAGCCATCGTGACAGCGCGCTGGGGCCCCGGGGCCGCGCCGGTGGCCGCTGGAAGGGGCCGGTCCACAGCCACTGCTCGCCCATTTGGCTAGCGGTGAACGCTGCATTGTTATAGAGGAATGACGTCGGGCTCCAGCTTCGCCTCCCGCATCTCGCTCAGCAGCGCCAGGGCCCGCTGCCACTGCTCGCCCTTCTCGCACGCGCTGATCCCAGCGCTGTAGCTGACTAGGGCAGACCTGTGGACCCCGTCCACGACATCAGCTCGACGTGGCGAGGGGTCTCTGGGCAAGCGCGGGGGGGTGCGGCTGCAGGGCCGAAAGGCAATCATGATGGCGTCGGGCTCCAGCTTGGCTTTCCACTTAGGGCTTCGTGGGGGCCGTTTGGGGATCTCTTGGGGCGTTTTTGCCTGCGATATGCCTGTCGCCTCTCGTCCGCTCCCCCGCTCCTGGAGGGAATTCTGAAGCCACTGAAGGCTTCGTGGGGGCCGTTTCGGAGCCTCTTCGGCCTTCTTTTGGGCCTCCCGGGGGGGCTCTTAGGGCCCTCTCGGGCCGTCTTGGGTGCCTCTTGGGCCGTCTTGGGGCCGTCTGAGGCCCGCCTCGGCGCCTCTTGGGCTGTCTTGGGCCGTCTTGGGCCGCTCCTGGGGCCGTCTTGGGTGCCTCTTGGGCCGTCTTGGGCGCCTCCTGGGCCGTCCTGGGGCCGTCCTGGGGCGTCTTGGGACCGTCTTGGGGCCCTCCTGGCCCGTCTTGGGGCTCTCTTGGGGTCCTCTTCGGCCGTCTTCGAGCGGTCTGGGGGACTTCTTGGGCCGTCTTGGAGCGTCGGGAAGCCGAAGAGGCGAGGAGGCCGAAAACATCGAAAAACACATGAGAAATCGACGCTTTCTGTCGCTCGGGGCCCTCTTGGGAGGCCTCTTCGGAGGCCTCTTCGGGCGTCTTGGACGCCTCTTGGGCCGTCTGGGGCGAATCTCGGGCGTCTTGGGCCCATCTCTAAGTGCCGGGGCTCTCCGGGGCCGTCTTGGGGGCTTCTGGGGGCCCTCTCGGCGTGTCCTGGAGCCTGCCTGGGCGGCCCGGAGCGGCCCGGGGCCAGCCCGGGGCGGTTTTGAGTTATTGGAGCCTGCGCCCTTCTGGCACGCACTGGGCCCTGCAATGTAGTAGAGACTAGTGTGAACATTGGATAAAATCCACAACGTGTTGAGCCTAGGACTCGCACGCCGTAGGTGACCAGCTCGTCGAAGTTGAACAGCTCGGGCGTCCCTGGTGCGGTAGGGGCGACCTTCGGAGGCACATGTGACGGTCACGTTTGAGGGCAGTGGTTGGGGGCTGTGTGTGGGGGCCACGTTTGGAGGCGCCTGGAGGCTATGCGTGGGGGTGACGTTTGGGGGCCACGCTTACTGGGGCGGTAGGGGCGACCTTCGGAGGCTTTGTGTGGGGGCCACCTTGGGGGTCCCGTTTGGGGGCCGCGTGTGGGGCCGACGTCCTAGGGGGCACGTCTGGGGGCCACCTCGGAAAGCAGTCAGAGAGCTCCAGGGGCACTGACCTGGAAGCGTGAAAAGGAATGGGTTTTTGCTAATCGCGCCGGGCCTGGGCGCGATTAGCAAAAACATTATCCCAGTGCGACCCTACCTAGGAGTTGGAGCATCTAGGAAAACAACAGCCACATCTACACCGACAGCTACATTAACATCTACACCTGCATCTACATCTACATCAACATCAACAGCGAGACTCACATCTACATCTACATATACACTTATATTTACATCTACATCTGCATCTACACCTACATCAACACCTACACCTACATCTATTGCTGTTGCTGCTGTTGCTTTGCCTTTGCTTTGATGCTATGCTATGCTATGCTATGCTATGCTATGCTATGCTGCGCTATGCTGTGCTATACTGGGCTTTGCTATGATATGCTGTGCTGCGTTGTGCTGTGCTACGCTCTGCTATGCTATGCTGTGCTCTGCTATGCTAAAACTCGGCGAAGCTAAGATGAAGGTAAGCTAAACTAAGATAATTCTGAACTAAGATGAAGCTGAGCTAAGCTAAAATTAAATAAGCTAAGCTAAGATGATATAAGCAACGCGAAGCTAAGGGAACGTCACTGAGGCAACCGCGGGGCGGATGCCGGGGGAACCGCCAGGGGCGGGTTCCACTGCCCGGCCCTTTAAGCCTAATAGTAAGAACCCTTCTAGGCAGAGCCTAGGTAGGGAACAAGGGTTTTCAGGCACAGTCAGAGTGAGGGGGCCACGTTTGCGGGCCTCGGTTGGGGGCCGCGCAGGGAGGTCTTGGGGCCATCTTGGGGGTCTCGGGCCGTCTCGGAGGTCGCTTTCGGTCCTCTTGGGCGGCATCTGGGCCCCTTCTTGGGGCGTCTTAGGGCCATCTTGGGGGTCTCGGCCGTTTCGGAAGTCACTTTGGGCCCGCTCGGGCGGGATCTGGGGCCCGGTTGGGGCTGACTTAGGGGTTACTTGAAGCTCTCTTGGGTTGTCTTGGGGCCCTCTTTGGCCGTCTACGGGCCTTCTTGGGCCGTCCGGGGGCCCTCCTGGGGCCCTCTTGGACCGTGCCGGGGCGATCTGGGAAGCTCCCGGGGCCATCCTGGGCCGTTGTAGGCCCGCAATGGCGGGAACAGAAAACTCCTCGAAACCTTCGGAAAACGCGCAAATATTGCCTCTTGGCGCCGTCCACGCGGTCCTCGCGGGCCGTCTCTGAGGCCTTTTTGTGCCGTCATGGGGCTCCTGTTGGATCGGCTTCGGCCCCCTTGGGCGTCTACGAGTTCGTCTTGGGGCGATCTGGGGGTCCTGGAGCCGTCGGCGAGCGCTCCAGGGGGCCTCCTGGGGCCGTCGAGAAGCGCCCCAAAGGCTCTCTGGGCGGCCCGCGGGCTCTCTGGGCGGCCCGGGGCGCTGCCACTGCTTCTACTACTCGCACGCGCTTCACCCAGAAATGAGTACAGATGACGTCGGGCACCAACTTCGCCTCCCACATTTCGCTCAGCAGTGCCAGCGCCGGCTGCCACTGCCCGCCCTTCTCACACGCGCTGATCCCAGCGTTGTAGCTGACTAGGGCTGACCCGTGGACTCCGTCCACGATATCTTTCTGGAAGGATTCTCGGAGGAACGGGCTCCTGGGGGGGGGGCACCGGACGTGGCCATGTATGACAGCTGGGCCGTTTGAGCCCGCGAGGCTCTGGAAGGCGAAGGCTCCGAGGTGATGGCAAGATGCCTGGAGGAGAGCGTGGATTCGACGGGGCGCCCGAGCGGTGCGAATGGCCAAGATGGCTCAAGATGGCGTTCAGAGCGGTGAGAACGGCGAATGCTGCCCAAGATGTCGGGGGTCCGAGCGGCGCGATTGGCCAAGACGGTCCAAGATGGCTCTCAGAGGGCCTCAGAGGGCCACTATCGCTTACTGTAGGCTCGCTCTGGGCGCCAAAGGGCCCTGCGGACCATTTTTCTAAGAAAAAGTGCTTGCAGACCCCTTTGGGGGCCACTTGACATGGCATGGTGACGTTTTCGTGTCGTGACGGCTCCGGTGGGTTGCACGCGCGGCTGTCAGCTGGGCCGTTTGAGCCCGCGAGGCTCTGGAAGGCGAAGGCTCCGAGGTGATGGCAAGATGCGTGGAGGATAGCGTGGATTCGTCGGGGCGCCCGAGCGGTGCGAATGGCCAAGATGGCTCAAGATGGCGTTCAGAGCGGTGAGAACGGCGAATGCTGCCCAAGATGTCGGGGGTCCGAGCGGCGCGAATGGCCAAGACAGTCCAATATGTCCAATATGGCTCTCGGGTCCATCTTGGGGCGTCCCGGAGCCCTCTGAGGCCGTCTGGGGGGCCTCTTGGGGCCCTCTTGGCGCGTCTTGGGCCCATCTTGGGGCGTCCCGGGGCCCTCTGGGGCCGTCTTGGGCTGTCTTGGGGCGTCTTGGGACCGTCTGGGGGCCCTCTTGGCCCGTCTGGAGGCCCTCTTGCGGGCCTCGTCGGTGGTCTTGGAGCGGTCTTGGGGACCTCTTGGGCCGTCTTGGAGCGCAGGGACGGCGAGAAGGGGAGAATGCGAGAAACATCGAAAAAACACAATGGAAGTCGACGATTTCTCCCGCTTGGGGCCCTGCTGGGAAGCCTCTTGGGAGGCCTCTTGGGGCATTTTGGTCGCCTCTGGGGCCGTCTTGGCCCAATCTTCGGCGTCTTGGGCCCATCTTGGGGCGTCCCGGAGCCCTCTGGGGCCGTCTTGGGGGCCTCTTGGGGCCCTCTTGGCGCGTCTTGGGCCCATCTTGGGGCGTCCCGGGGCCCTCTGGGGCCGTCTTGGGGGGCCGTCTTGGGCTGTCTTGGGGCGTCTTGGGACCGTCTGGGGGTCCTCTTGGCCCGTCTTGAGGCTCTCTTGCGGGCCTCGTCGGTGGTCTTGGAGCGGTCTTGGGGACCTCTTGGGCCGTCTTGGAGCGCAGGGACGGCGAAAAGGGGAGAATGCGAAAAACATCGAAAAACACAATGGAAATCGACGATTTCTCCCGCTCGGGGCCCTGCTGGGAAGCCTCTTGGGAGGCCTCTTGGGGCATTTTGGCCGCCTCTGGGGCCGTCTTGGCCCAATCTTCGGCGTCTTGGGCCCATCTTGGGGCGTCCCGGAGCCTTCTGGGGCCGTCTTGGGGGCCTCTTAGAATCGCCCTTCTCGCACGCGCGGGTCCCTGCATTGTAGTATAGACTAGGGCTGACCCGTGGACTCCGTCCACGACATCTTTCTGGAATGGTTCTCGGAGGAACGCCGCAGATTGCACCGAAAATCTACAAACACGGCGGCGGCTCGGGCGGCGGCAGCGCTCCAGCAGCTTGGCCCCAGCGCACTGCTCGTTCACCCCCCTCCTATTGAGGGCAGTTTCGAAGTCTCTCGGGGATGTGCGTCGAAATCGAAGCCCATCTGAGGCGTCTCAGGAGCGCCCGGGGAAGGGCTCGGGAGGCCATCGGGGAAAGCCACCGAAAGCCCCAGGTGCTCGTCCGAAGAGTGCGGAGAGGTCCCTGGGTCATATCGATTGGCTGCTGTCCTGGGGGTCCGGTCTGGTTGGCCCGAAGAGTTTGCCAAGGCCCCTGGGGGAACAGAATGGCACAGCATATCGGGCAAAGGGGGGCGGGCGGTAGCTGGCCTGTTAGACCCGGCGTTCGTCTTCTGCCCAAGCGGCGCGGGGCCCACGGGCCCCAGGGTTGGCGGCCCGCTGGGTTTCCTCTTGTTCGCCCACAGGGTTGGGGGAGGCCTCCAGGCCAACATAATGGGGCAGGACAATGAATGTGGGAGACTTGTCGCAAGCTCCCAGCCCCCCCAAATGTTCGCCCGAAGGGTGTGGGGCCGCGTTTGCTCCCTCAAAGGGCCTCTTGGAGCCGTCTAGGCCCGTCTTGAGGGCGCCGTTTGCCGTGATGGGGCCGTCTTGGTTCGTCGTGGGCCCCTCATGGGCCCTCATGGGCGCGTCCGTAGGCCGTTCTGGGCCCATCGGGGTCCTTGTTGGCACTATCGCAGGGCTGTCTTGGAGCCGTCTGGGGCCGTGAGGGGGCCGCCTTGGAGTCGTCTTGGGCCCCTCCTGTGCGCCTCCTTGGGCCGTCCTGGGCCCAGCAGGGGTCGTCTTGGTACCCTCTTGGGGCTGTCTTGGGGCCGTCTTGAGCCGTCGCAGCGCGCCTTGGGTTGTGCTGGGTCCGTGGCGGCCTCTGTTGGGGCCTCGTTGGGGCTCCTTGGGAGCCTCCTGGGGCCTCTTCGGGGGATTCTTGGCGGCCCCTTGGGGCCTCTTGGGGGCCTGTTTGGGCCTCCTGGCGCCCTCTTGGGGCGGAAGGCTCGGATTTTCGGTCCGTGGTCCTCCTCTTGGTCCCCTCTTGGGCCTCTCTTCGGGCCCTCGTGGGCCGTCTTGAGCGTCTCTTGGGTCGTCTTGGGGCCCTCTTGGGCTGTCTTGGGGCGCTCTTGGAGGCCTCTTGGGCCGTTCTGGGGCGCTCTTGGAGGCCTCTTAGGCCGTCTTCGAGCGTCGGAAAGCGGAAAAGGCGAGAAGGCCAAAATCCTTCCCAAACCGTCGTAAAGTGGATGATTTTGGCCGCTCGGGGCCCTCGAGGAATACGCGTGCAGGCCTGGGCTCCTTGAGCTGTCTTGGGGGCCTCTTGGGGCCTCTGGAGCCTCTCTGGAGCCGCCCAGGGCGTCTTTAAGCTCCGTGGGACCTCTTGGGGACCTCTTTCGGGCTCCTGGGGGCCTCTTGGGCCTCTCTGGGCCCGTCTATCGCGCCCCTTGGGCTGTCTTGGGGCCCCCTAGGGCCTTCTTGGGCGGTCCTCGGGCCGTCTTGGAGCCGTCTTGGGCCGCTCTTCGGGCCATCTTGGGGTCCCGGTGGCCTGTCTTGGGCGCGTCTGGGGCCGTCCTGGGGCCGCCTTGGACCGTCGTCTTGGGGCCCTCTTGGACCGTCTCGGGGTCCTGCTGGGGACCTCTTCGACCGTCTTGGAGCGGTCTTGGATGCCTCTGGGGGGGTTTGGGAGCGTCGGGAAGCCGAAAAAGCGAGGAAGCAACAAACCACGGAAAAAACAATGAAAATCAACGATTTTGGCCTCTCGGGGCTCTCTTGGGAGGCCTCTTGGGAGGCCTATTGGGCCGTCTTGGGGAGCTCTTGGGCCGTCTTGGGCCAATCTTGGGCGTCTTGGCCGGATCATTGCGCGTCTCGGGGCCCTCTTGGGCCGCCTTCGGGGCATCTTGAGCGGCTCGGAGCCGTCTTTGGGCCGTCGGGGCGGCCTCCGGAGCGTCTCGGAGCCGTTTCCCGGCATTTGGCTGGATTTCTTTCCGGCACGCGCTTCCTCTGGCCATATAGTATAGACTAGTGTGAACCGGTGGAAAATCCACGGCCCGCAGGTCCAGGCGTTGGTCCCGAACGCGCACGTGTCGGAAGCGATGGAAGCGTCAAAAGTAATGTGTTTTTACTAATCGCGCGAGGCCTGGGCGCGATTACCAGAAACGCGTAGGTTTTCATACACAATCAGAGGAAGGGGGCCCGAACGATCTTACAGAGTCCCTGTGCGCGAGAAGTTCGATGTGGGGGGTGGACGCGTGGGGGCCAGAGTTGGGCGCTACGTGGGGGGGCCTCGTTTGAGGGCCACGTTGGGGGGTCTCGTCAGGGGGTCATGGTTGGAGGCAACGATCGCGGCCCTGCCGGGGGCCATGTTTGGGGGCCGCGTGCGGGGTTCGGGGGCACATGTAACGGTCGCGCTTGAGGGTGCGGGGTTCGGGGGCAGATGTGACGGTCACGTTTGAGGGCAATGGTTGGGGGCTGTGTGTGTGTGTGTTGGGGCCACGTTTGGGGGCGCCTGGGGGCTACGCGTGGGGTTGATGTTCGGGGGCCAGGCTTACTGGGGCGGTAGGGGCGACCTTCGGAGGCTTTGTGTGGGGGCCGCCTTTGGGCGTCCCGTTTGGAGGCCACGCGTGGGGCCGACGTGTAAGGGGCCACGTCCAGGGGCGATATCAGAAAGCAGTCGGGGAGCCCGGGGGGCACTGACCTGGAAGCGTGAAAAGGAATGGGTTTTTGCAAATCGCGCTGGGACTGGGCGCGATCAGCCCAAACTCAAGGGTTTTCAGGCACCGTCGGGGAGCGCTCCAGGGGCGTCCTGGGGCCGTCGGGGAGCGGATCAGAGCTCTGGCAGGTCGAAGCCAGCAGAACCGAGAGAGCAGCGGTGAGGCCTCCGATACAGCCCAAAGTGCGGGTGCTGGTATACGTAGGGCCCCGGAACCGGCTGTAGTGGCCCGCGGGCAATCTCGCCGCGGGCCTGGGTAATGGATAAGAGATCTCGTGGATGTTGGTTGGGATCTCGTGGTTGGCCTCTCGGGAGCCTCTGGGAGACAGTTTGGGGGCTTCTTGGTAGCAGTTTGGGGACGTCTTGGGGCCTCTGGGGCCCTCTTTGGGGGCCTCTTGGGGGCCTTTTGGGGCGCTTGGCGGCCTCTCGGGGGCCTCTTGGAGCCTCTTTGGGGCGTCCTGGGGCCTCCTGGGGATGTCTTTGGAGCGTCCCGGCGTTTCCTTGCGGCCTCTTGGGGTGGAGGCCTCGATTTTTCGGTTCTGGGTCCCTGTCTTGGGCCTCTCTTGGGGCCTTCTTGGGGCCCTCTTGGGCTGTCTTGGGTGACTCTTGGGCCGTCTTGGGGCCCTCTTGGGCCGTCCTGGGGCCGGGCTCTTGGGCCGTCTTGGAACGGTCTTGGGGGCCTCATGGGCGGCCGTGGAGCGTCGGAAAGCCGAACAAGCGAGAAGGCCAGAAACATGGGAAAAAACACAGAAATTCAACGATTTTGGCTTCTGCGGCCCCTCTTGGAGGTGCACTTCGAGCGCTGTGGGGGCCTCGTGGAGGCGTCTCGGGCCGTCTTGAAGGCGTCTTGAAGCCATCTTAAGCGTCTCGGATACACTCTTGGACCGTCTTGGGCCGTCTTCGGGACCTCCTGAGGCCGTCTTGGGGCGATCTTGGAATCCTGGATCAGTCCGCGAGCGGTTCGGGGGCCTCCCGGGCCCGTCGGGCAGCGGCCCGGAGGCTCTCCGGGCGGCCCGCGAGCTCTCTGGGCGGCCCGGGGCGCTGCCACTGCTTGTACTTCTCGCGCGCGCTTCGCCCGCAATTGTGGTACAGACTAGTGTGCACCCGTGGAGCACATCAGCAGGTGCACTGGCAGGGGAACGCGGCGGGGCCGACAGGCGGCGACAGCCTATTGGCTGACAGATGTCGTAGATGATGTGGCCGAGGAGCCTGGCGGCCCGAAGACGGCCCCAAGAGGGCCCTCAGGAAACACCGGACGGATACTGCAACAGCGGTGTGCGTTGTAGCATCCGTTTGGGGGCCCTCTTCGGGCTCTGGCGGGCGATCTCTGGGCCATCCTTGGTCGTCTTGGGCGCCTCTTGGGCCGTCTTGGGGCTCTCTTCGGCCGTCTTGGGCTCTTGAGGCCCTTTGGAGCTGCCCTGGGATTCTCGTGGGGGGTCTGTTGGACCGGCGCGGGGCGATCCTGGGGGCTGTTGAGCTGTCGTGAACGCATCAAGGGCCCGAAAGTCGTGTATAGCAAAAATGCTGCAACGCAACAGGAAACCTTAGATGTTTTCACCGAGAGGCCCTGCTGGGAGTGCTCTTGGAGCGCTCTAGGGGCCTTTTGGACAGCTTTTCGGTCGGCCGTCTGGAGGCAGTCTTGGGCTATCTCGGGGCCCTCTGATGCCGTCTGCACGCCATCTTGGGCCATCTTGACGCCATCCTCGGCCGTATTGGATGCATCTTCGGCGAACTTGGAGGCCTCTTGGACTCGCTCGGGCCGTATGAAAGGCGCAGGCCCTCCAGGCGGGCCCCCCCCAGCGAGCATCTGGAGGCCCTCGAAAATTGCCCCAAGAGGAGCTCGAGAGGGCCCGAAAACGGCCCTAACAGAGGCCCCAGAAAGCACTCGAAGGATGCTACAACAAGGGGGTGCGTTGTAGCATCCGCTGGGGGGCCTCTTCAGGCTCTCTGGGAGCACTCATGTGGCCGTCTTGGGATGCACCTGGGGTGGGGCTCTAGTGGGCGATCTCTGGGCCATCTTGGGTCGTCTTGGGCGCCTCTTGGGCCGTCTTGGGGCTCTCTTGGGCCGTCTTGGGGCCCTCTCGAGCCGCCTTGGGACTCTCTTGGGGGGCCTCTTGGGCCGGCCTGAGGAGATCTTGGGTGCTGTTGGACCGTCGTGGACGCTGCAAGGGCCGAAACGTTGTATGTGTTGAAAACGTTGGAAACACCTGCAGAGAACCTTTGATTTTGCACCTGGAAAGCACCCGACGGATGCTACAACAAGGGGGTGCGTTGTAGCATCCGTTGGGGGGCCTCTTCGGGCTCTCTGGGAGCGCTTCTGGGGCCGTCTTGGGATGCACCTGGGGCTCTATGGGGTAATCTCTGGGCCATCTTGGGTCGTCTTGGGCGCCTCTTGGGCCGTCTTGGGGCTCTCTTGGGCCGTCTTGGGGCTCTCTCGAGCCGCCTTGGGATCCTCTTTGGAAGCCTTTTGGGCCGGCTTGGGGCGATTCTTGGGGGCCGTTGGGTCGTCGTGGACGCTGCAAAGGCTCAAAAGTCGTGTGTGCTGAAAACGTAGGGAAATCCTTCAGAAGACCATGCATTTTGCACCGGGAAGCACTGTTGGGAGTGCTCTTGGAGCGCCCTGGGGGCCGTTTGGAAGGCTCTTCGGCCGTCTGGAGGCTGTCTTGGGTTATCTTGGGGCCCTCTCAGGCCGTCTGCATGCCATCTCGTGCCATCTTGACGCCATCCTCGGCCGTATTGAAGGCATGCTCGTCGAACTTTCAGGCCTCTCTTGGACTCGCTTGGGCCGTCTGGGAGGCGCAGGCCCTCCCCCAGCGAGCCCGGCGGGCCCTCCCGGCGGCACCTCCCGGCTTTGCCACGATTGGCAAGCTCCACGCGCTGCTCCCAGTATTGTAGGATAGATGACGTGGGGCTCCAGCTTCGCCTCACACATCTCGCCCAACAACACAAGCGCGCACTGCCACTGCTCGCCCTTCTCGCACGCGCTAATCCCAGCGCTGTAGCTGACTAGGGCTGACCCGTGGACTCCGTCCACGACATCTTTCTGGAATGGTTCTCGGAGGAACGGCGCAGATTGTACCGAAAATCTACAAACACGGCGGCGGCTCGGGCGGCGGCAGCGAGACCGCGCCTTCGTGTCCGAGCTCTTGCAGCGCTGCAGCAGCTTGGCCCAGCGCACTGCTCGTTCACCCCCCTCCTATTGAGGACAGTTTCGAAGTCTCTCGGGGATGTGCGTCGAAGTCGAAGCCCATCTGAGGCGTCTCAGGAGCGCTCGGGGAAGGGCTCGGGAGGCCATCGGGGAAAGCCACCGAAAGCGCCGGGGAGGCTCGCAAGGATCTACAGGGAGGGCCCAAGAGAGCTTCAAGAAAATTTGAAATCCAGTGAACTCTTAAGAGAAACCGCTGTTGGGTCGGCCATCACCTCTGGGCGCGCCTTGATGGTGCGATCCAGTCGCATCACCGCCAACGGGAGGGTTTGTTCGCCATGTCCCATTCTGTTCGCCCAGAGGGTCTGTGGAGGCCTTCGGGCGAACAGAACGGGACAGGGCAAGGAATGGGGAAGACATGTCCGAATCTCCTGGGCCCCCCAGATGCTCGTCCGAAGAATGCGGAGAGGTCCCAGGGTCATATCAATTGGCTGCTGTCCCAGGGGTCCGGTCTGCTTGGCCCGAAGAGTTTGCCAAGGCCCCTGGGGGAACAGAATGGCACAGCATATCGGGCAAAGGGGGGCGGTAGCTGGCCTGTCAGACCCGGCGTTCGTCTTCTGCCCAAGCGGCGCGGGGCCCACGGGCCCCAGGGTTGGCGTCCCGCTGGGATTCCTCTTGTTCGCCCACAGGGTTGGAGGAGGCCTCCAGGCGAACAGAATGGGGCAGGACAATGAATGTGGGAGACTTGTCGCAAGCTCCCAGCCCCCCCAAGTGTGCGCCCGAAGGGTGTGGGGCCGCGTTGGCTCCCTCAAAGGGCCGTCTTGGAGCCGTCTAGGCCCGTCTTGAGGGCGCCGTTTGCCCTGATGGGGCCGTCTTGGTTCGTCGTGGGCCCCTCATGGGCGCGTCCGTAGGCCGTCCTGGGCCCATCGGGGTCCTCGTGGGGCTGTCTTGGAGCCGTCTGGGACCGTGAGGAGGCCGCCTTGGAGTCGTCTTGGGCCCCTCCTGTGCGCCTCCTTGGGCCGTCCTGGGCCCAGCAGGGGCCGTGTTGGCACCCTCTTGGGGCTGTCTTGGAGCCGTCTTGAGCCGTCGCAGCGCGCCTTGGGTTGTGCTGGGTCCGTCTTGGCCCGTCTTGGGGCCTTCCTGGGCGGTTCCTCGGACCCTCCTGGGACTTTCTGGGGCCTCTTGGTGCATCGGACCGCCGAAACGGCGGGAAACGCAAAGGGTGTAACAGTAAACAATGGAAAATTAACGATTTTTGCCAGCTGGGACTCTCTTGCCATCTTGGCCCGTCTTGAGGCCCCGAACGGGCGCGTCCTTGGGCCGTCCTGGGCGCACCCTCCTGGGACCGTCTTGGAATCGTCTTGGGCCGTCTTGAGCGCGCCTTGGGCCGTCCTGGGCCGGTCTGGGGCCGTGTTGGCACCCTCGCGGCGAGGAAGCTCGGAGGCGGGCTCGAGGCCTCTTCGGGGCCATTTTGGAAGCTGTTGGGGCCTCTGTAGGGGCCTCGTTTGGGCTCCTTGGGAGCCTCCTGGGGCCTCTTCGGGGGATTCTTGGCGGCCCCTTGGGGCCTCTTGGGGGCCTGTTTGGGCCTCCTGGCGCCCTCTTGGGGCGGAAGGCTCGGATTTTCGGTCCGTGGTCCCCCTCTTGGCCCCCTCTTGGGCCTGTCTTCGGGCCCTCGTGGGCCGTCTTGAGCGTCTCTTGGGTCGTCTTGGGGCCCTCTTGGGCTGTCTTGGGGCGCTCTTGGAAACCTCTTGGGCCGTTCTGGGGCGCTCTTGGAGGCCTCTTGGGCCGTCTTCGAGCGTCGGAAAGCGGAAAAGGCGAGAAGGCCAAAATCCTTCCAAAACCGTCGTAAAGCGGACGATTTTGAGGCCCAAAACCGTCCAAAACCTCCTGAGGCGGTCCCCTCGTCCGCCCCCCTCGCTTCGAAGCAGTTTGTAAGCCCCGTGGCACCTCTTGGGGATCTCTTTTGGGCTCCTGGGGGCCTCTTGGGCCTCCACTGGATTCGCTGCCCTCGGTCGGCAATCGTCGATCCTACGACGACTCTCCCCAACGGAGAAACATCGAAGGCCCTCGGAGCGTCCAACATTGTTCTTTTGTGCCTTCGATATGCCGGTCGCCTTTCGTGCGCTCCCCCCCTCCTGGAAGCAATTCTGAGGCCACTTAGGGCTTCGTGGGGGCCGTTTGGGGATCTCTTGGGGCGTTTTTGCCTGCGATATGCCTGTCGCCTGTCGTCCGCTCCTCCGCTCCTGGAGGGAATTCTGAAGGCACTGAAGCCTTCGTGGGGGCCGTTTCGGAGCCTCTTCGGCCTTCTTTTGGGCCTCCCGGGGGGGCTCTTAGGGCCCTCTCGGGCCGTCTTGGGTGCCTCTTGGGCCGTCTTGGGGCCGTCTGAGACCCGCCTCGGCGCCTCTTGGGCTGTCTTGGGCCGTCTTGGGCCGCTCCTGGGGCCGTCTTGGGTGCCTCTTGGGCCGTCTTGGGCGCCTCCTGGGCCGTCCTGGGGCCGTCCTGGGGCGTCTTGGGACCGTCTGGGGGCCCTCCTGGCCCGTCTTGGGGCTCTCTTGGGGTCCTCTTCGGCCGTCTTGGAGCGGTCGGGGGGACTTCTTGGGCCGTCTTGGAGCGTCGGGAAGCCGAAGAGGCGATGAGGCCGAAAACATAGAAAAACACAGTAGAAATCGACGATTTCTGTCGCTCGGGGCCCTCTTGGGAGGCCTCTTCGGGCGTCTTGGACGCCTCTTGGGCCGCCTGGGGCGAATCTCGGGCGTCTTGGGCCCATCTTTAAGCGTGCTGGGGCCCTCCGGGGCCGTCTTGGGGGCTTCTGGGGGCCCTCCCGACATGTCCTGGAGCCTGCCTGGGCGGCCCGGGGCGGCCCGGGGCCAGCCCGGGGCGGTTTTGAGACATTGGAGCCTGCGCCCTTCTGGCACGCACTGGGCCCTGCAATGTAGTAGAGATGACGTCGGGTTCCAGCTTCGCCTCCCGCATATCGCTGAACAGCACGAGCGCGCACTGCCACTGCTCGCCTTTCTCGCACGCGCTGACCCCAGCGCTGTAGCTGATGGCACGCACTGGGCCCTGCAATGTAGTAGAGACTAGGGCTGACCCGTGGACTCCGTCCATTTCATCTTTTTGGAATGGTCCTAGGAGGAACGGCGGAGATGTTGCCGAAAACCTATGAGCACGGCGGCGGCCAGGGCGGCGGCAGCGAGAACGCGTCTTCGTGTCCGAGCTCTGGCAGCGCTCCAGCAGCTTGGCCGTCGCGGGGCCGCCGTCGTCGTCGTCATCGTCGGCGCCGTTGTCGTCGCCGCCGCGAAGCCGCCGTCTTACCCGTCGTAGTCGGCGTCGTTGTCGTGGTGGTGGTTGCGGTCGTCGTCGTGGGTTGTGGGCACCGGCAGGAGCTGGCGACGTCGGTAGGACAGACCCGTGGACTCCGTCTGTCCACGAAATCCGCACGAAGTGGCATCTGATTGCGGGGCCCGACCTCACATTCTGCGCATGCTACTGTGTGCTGCTGCTTGCTGCCGCTTTTGTGCACTCTTGGTAGTGCTTGAGGCCGCTGCTGCGTATTCTTGCTGCTTGTGGCTGCAGGTTGTTGCTGATGGCCAGTTCTGCTAGGTGCGTGCTTCTACCCGCTGCCTGCCGCTGCTTGCTGCTGCTGTGTGCCGCCGCTGCTGCTGTCTGCTTCGTGCCCACGGTAGAGATCGATGCTGCCCCAGGGCTCTCGAAATGTCGCACGGTGGACTGTGAATGGGGGCTCACTGTGGACGCGCAGGGAGCCACGTCCTTTTGGGCGCCGTCTCCGCGCCCCTCTGGGATCAGACTGTGCTGGGGACTGCGCTCTCTCGAGGCCTCTGGTGTATCTCGCCTCACTTGGGCGGCAGCGGCGAAGGGCGCCCTGGAGCTGGGAGGCAATAGTAAAGAAAGGGAAGTAGCGCCCATGTTGTTGTTCATTATTCGGCGCTCTTTCGCTCGCGCCCTCACCCACGGAGGAGAGCAACGCTCCCATGCGGCCACTGATGGCGGGCGCTTCCTTCTTCTTGGGAACCGCTCGGGGGCCTCTCGGGATTTCTTTTCGGCCTCCGTGGGCCCCCTTGAACCGTCTTGCGGCCTCCTGGGGGCCTTTTGGGGCCCTCTTTGGCCGAGTTGTGTGCCCCTTGGGCCGTCTTGGGGCCGTCTGAGGCCGTCTTGGACGCCTCTGGGGCCGGCTCGGGGCCGTCTTTGGCTGCTCTTGGGGCTGCCTTGGGTGACTTTTGGGCCGTCGTGGGCGCCTCAGGAGCTCATGGTGGCCTCCTGGGGCCCTCTTGGGCTGTCTTGGGTGCCTCTTGGGGCCGTCTGGGGCCCTCGTGGGCGCCTCTGGGGCCGTCTTGGGGCCGTCTGGGGCCCGCTTGGGCGCCTCTGGGGCCGTCTTGGGGCCGTCTCGCGGACGTCTTGGGCCGTCTTGGGGCCGTCCCGGCGCTGTCATGGTTGCCTTTTGGGCAGCCATGGGCGCCGTGGGGCCGTCTCGGGGCCGTCATGGGGGCTTCCAAAGGCGAGTCGGGGCGATCTTGAGGGTCTGTATGGCCGTGTTGCACGCGTTGCGGACGCAAAGCGCGGGAATTGCAAAAATGTACGTTTTCACTCGGGACTGGGACAATCTTTCCTTGTTCGGGCTCTCTTGGGGCTCGTCTTGGAGCCCACCTGAAGCGTCTTGGGAGGCCTCTTGGGCCGTCGGGAGGGTATCTTGGGCGTCTTGGAACGCTCTTGGACCTTTTCGGAGGCCCTATTGGGCCGTTTTTGGCCGTCTTGGGGCCCTCGTGAAGGCCTCTGGGGGCGTCTCGGAGCGCACTTGGGCCATCTTGGAGCGTCTCGGAGCGGGGCTCGCAGGGGCCTAATACGCCATTTTGGTCCGAATCGCCTTTTTCGCACGCGCGGGGCCCTGCATTGTGGTGTAGACCAGCGTGCACCCGTGGAAAATCCACGGCTGGCAGGTCGAAGTCAGCAGAATTGTGAGAGGAGCGGTGAGGCTCCAGAAGCAGCCAAGGGTGCAGGTGCTGGTGTAGTAGAGGCCTCCTAAATAGGGTCGGAGTAGATGGGGTCGGAGGATCGCGCCGATCGCCGATACATCGGCGATGCATCGGCGATGTATCAGAGATGCTTCGGCGATGCACTGGCGATGCATCGTCGACGTCGCCCACGTCGACGTGAAGCAAATCGGGCTCCACATCGAGCCGCATCGCCGATGCATCGTCGATGCGGCGCGATCTACCGACCCCGTCTACTCGGACCCCATCTGGGAGGCCTAAATGTCAAGGGCCCGAGATCATGTCCCCTCCGTCGCCCCGAACCGGCTGCGGGGGGGCCCCGGTGTCTGGAGCTTGGAGGCAAGGCGGTCAGGGATAGGAGTGGAGAGAACGGAGAGAGCAGCGGGGAGGCCCCGGAGGCAGCAGAGGGCCCCAGAGCGGCCAGAGCGTCGAGGAGGAAGCAGAGGAGGATGAGCAGGAGGAGGAGGAGGAGGAGGAGGAGGAGGAGGAGGAGGAGGAGGAGGAGGAGGAAGAGAAGAGAGGAGAACGGGTGGAGGAGCTGTGTAGGGCCATGCTTTGGTCAGGGCCTTTGTTCCAGGCTTCTGAGGAGCCACAAACGGCGACTTCCTTTGGAGCTTCTGGGATCCCAGGCACCGCGAACGGGTGCCGTGGCTGGAGGCGCTCTCCCTGGAGCTCCCTGGCAAATCTCGGAACCTCTTGGGTGACTCTGGGGCACCTCGGAGTGGTCCTAGGAAGTCTCTTGGCCCATTGGGGGGCTGCAGGAAGCCCGTCGTCTGGACATTCTTCGCACCCTCTTCGAGACCTCTCTGGGGGGTCTTCCCGGAGCCTCAGGGCGCCCTCTTCGGCACTTGTGCGGCGCCTGTAGGCCGTCTGGGAGGCCTCTCGGGGGGCCTCGGGGGGTCCTCTCCGGCCAGCTTGCGGCACTCTTGGGCCGCCTTGGGGGCCCCTTTGGGGGCTGCAGGAGCCTGCCATCTGGGCTCCCGTCGGCCCTCGTCGAGCCCTCATGGAGGTCTCTCCGGAGCCTCTGGGGGCCCTGTTCGGCTATTTTGCGGCGTCTTCGATGCCTCTTGGCTCGTCCATGTGCCACACTGGAGGTTGTCCGCGATCCGGGGCCGTCGTGGAGCCCGCTGTGGGCCCTGTTGGGCAGCTCCTGGGGCCCTCTTGAGGCTGTCTTGGGGGCCACCGGAGGCTCTATGAGGCTGTCTTGGGCTTCTCTTGGGCAGTCTTCGGGTCGTCTTGAGGCACCTGGCGGGGCCCCCTGGACTGGCTTGGGGCGATCCGGGATGGCCCTTGAGCCGTCTGGGGCTGTGATCGGCCCGAAATGGCGAAAACACAAAAAACCGTGAAAGAACCTGCAACGAACTTATGATCTGGGCCTCGGAAGACCGTCATCGGGCCCCCATGCGGCCGTCTTCGGAGGCACCTGGCCGTCGTCGGGCCGTCCTGGACTGTCACGGGGCTGCGCTCGGGCCCTCTTGGTAGAGCTGCCTTGCAGCTGTCGGAGGCCGTCTTGGGGCCACCTGGGGTTAGATCGGGCATGTCCTCCTACAGGCGGATGTTGGAAGAAAAATGCAAAACAGTGGTCACAAAAAGCCAGAACAGATCGTCCCCCGACTGTTCTTTCCACCATTTCTGCATCTTCCTCCTGGAGAGGCACAGGCCCGACTTAAACCCAGGGGCTCTCCGGGGTACAGTCGGGGCGCTGAAGAAGGAACCCTTTTCGTTGGGGAGGGCCTCGGTGTTCCTTGAGTGTTTAGCAGTCTGCCTCAGGTTTTCCTGAGGTCTTCCATTGGAAATCGAAGTTTAACTTATGGGAAACAGGGGCATCGTTCCTTATTTGGGGTTCCTTAGGTCAACGCCCCGGCTGTACCGTCGGTGAGCGCCAGGGCGCTCCGGGCGGCTGCGGACGTCCAGGGGGCGGTCCACCCCTTCCGCAGCGCAGCGCCCCAAGCTGCAACCGGCACGCCCTGTAGGGCCTGACGGCGCCGCCCACAACGGGCACGGTGGCGACGGTCGCGGGCCTCTCACCTCTCGCCCGGCCCCCCCCTCTGTTGGAGGGCGCGGTCCTCGAGCGGGCACTTTTTTTTGGGGGGGGGGGCAGCCTAGAGGGCCGTTTCACGGTGTGAGAACTTCGCTCGCCAGTGAAAAGATTCCTTGACGCTCAGCTCTACTCGCACTCGAGCGGGCGCGCATGGGATAGGGGGCTTAGGAAGTAGCCGCCGTGCGGGAGGGAATGCTGAAGCCACCGAGGTTAGGTCGGGCACGTCCCCCTACAGGCGGATGTTGGGCGAACCAGAAACGAATAGTCAACAAATGCATCCAAATGATCAAAAATAGTGAAAATATGTCTCCAAACTATGTTTTGGCTATTTTTAAATTTTCCTCCTGTACATGGACGTGCCCGACTTCACACTGAGGGCCTCTTGAGGGCCGTGTGGGGCCTCTTGAGGCTTCTTGTCGGCTTCGATGGGAGCCTCTGGGGGCCCTCGGGGGCTCTCGTCGGTGCCGTTTGGGCCGTCTCGGAACCGTCCTGGGTCGTCTTGAGCGCCTCTTGGACCGTCTGGGTTTCGTCGTAGACCGTCTTGGGCGGCTCTTCGGGCTGTCTTGGGTGCCTTCGGGGCCGTCTTGGGGTTGGGGCCGTCTTGGGGCCGTCGTGGTCCGTCTTGGGCGCCTAGGCCGTCTTCGGACTGTCTTGTGCCGTCTGGGGCCGTTTTGGGGGGGCAGTTTGGGAGCCTCTCGGGGTTTCTTTTGGGCCTCCTAGGGGCTTCCCGGGGCTCCTTCGGCTGTCCTGGTTGCCTCTTGGGCAGTCTTGGGGCCGAGTGGGGCCGTCTTGGGCGCTTGGGCACCTTCGGGGCCGTCTTGGAGCCGTCTGGTGCTTCTCGGGCGCTCCTTGGGCCATTTTGGGACTGTCTTCGGGCCGTCTTGAGCTGCCTTTGCTCGCTCTTGGGGCTGACTTGGATGCCTCTTGGGCCGCCGTGGGCGCCGCAGGAGCTGTCCAGGGGTCGTCTTGGGGCGTTTTGGAGCCCCTTGGGGCTCTATTCGGCTGTCTTGGGTGCCGCTTGGATCGTCTTGGGGCCAAGCGTCTGGGGCCGTCTTGGGCGCCTCTTGGTCGTCTTGGGGCTGAACCGTCTAGGGATCCTCCTGGGGCCCTCTTGGGCTGTCTTTGGTGCCTCTTGAGCCGTCTTGGGACCGTCTGGGGTCGTCTTGGGCGACTTTGGGGCCGTCTTGGGGCCCTCTGGGGCCGTCTCGGGCGCTGCAGGGGCCGTCTTGGGGCTGTCTTTGACCACTCTTGTCGCTGTCTTGGCCGCCTCTTGGGCCGCCATGGGCGCCTGAGGAGCTGTCCTGGGGCTGTCTTGGGGACGTTATAAGGGCTTCCAGAAGCGTGTTGGGGCGATCTTGGGGGCCTGTATGGCCGTCTTGGACGCGTTTCGGATGCAAAGCACGGGAATTGCAAACATTAAAGTTCCCCCTAAGGATTGGAACGATTTGTTCTTGTTCGGGCTCACTCGGGGCTCGTTTTGGAGCCCACTTGGAGCGTCTTGGGAGGCCTCTGGGGCCGTCGGGAGGGTGTCTTGGGCGACTTGGAACGCGCTTGGACCTTCTCGGAGGCCCTGTTGGACCGTCTTGGGCCGTCTTGGGGCCCTCGTGGGGGCCTCCGGGGGCGTCTCGGATCGCTCTTGGGCCATCCTGGAGCCTCTCGGAGCACGCCGGGGCTTGCCGGGGATCGCAGGGGCTGCCGGGGCGCCTGCTACGCCATTTTGGTCCGAATCGTACTTTTCGCACGCGCGGGGTCCTCTAATGTAGTAGAGATGGCGTCGGGCTCCAGCCTCACCTCCCGCATCTCGCTCAGCATCGCCAGCGCCTGCTGCCACTGGCCGCCCTTCTCGCACGCGCTGATCCCAGCGCTGTAGATGACTAGTGTGAACCCGTGGAAAATCCACGGCCCGCAGGTCCAGGCATTGGTCCCGAACGCGCACGTGTCGGAAGCGCGGGAAGCGTCAAAAGTAATGTGTTTTTGCTAATCGCGCGAGGCCTGGGCGCGATTAGCAGAAACACGTAGGTTTTCAGACGCAATCAGAGTAAGGCAGCCCCAACGATCTTGCAGAGTCCCTGTGCGCGAGAAGTTTGATGTGGGGGGTAGACGCGTGGGGGCCAGAGTTGGGCGCTACGTTGGGGGGCCTCGTTTGAGGGCCACGTTGGGGGGTCTCGTCAGGGGGTCATGGTTGGGGGCAACGTTCGCGGCCCTGCCGGGGGCCATGTTTGGGGGCCGCGTGCGGGGTTCGGGGGCACATGTGACGGTCGCGTTTGAGGGTGTGGGGTTCGGGGGCAGATGTGACGGTCACGTTTGAGGGCAATGGTTGGGGGCTGTGCGTGTTGGGGCCACGTTTGGAGGCGCCTGGGGGCTACGCGTGGGGTTGACGTTCGGGGGCCACGCTTACTGGGGCGGTAGGGGCGACCTTCGGAGGCTTTGTGTGGGGGCCGCCTTTGGGGGTCCCGTTTGGAGGCCGCGCGTGGGGCCGATGTGTAAGGGGCCACGTCCAGGGGCGATCTCAGAAAGCAGTCGGGGAGCCCCGGGGCACTGACCTGGAAGCGTGAAAAGGAATGGGTTTTTGCTAATCGCGCTGGGACTGGGCGCGATCAGCCCAAACTCAAGGGTTCTCAGGCACCGTCAGAGTGAAGGGGCCACGTTAGCGGGCCCGCGCATGGTGGTCCTGGGGCCATCTCGGGGGTCTCGGGCCGTCGAGATGGCCGTCTCGAGAGCTCTGGCAGGTCAAAGCCAGCAGAACCGAGAGACCAGCGGTGAGGCCCCCGATACAGCCAAGGGTGCAAGGGTGCGGGTGCTGGGATACGTAGGGCCCCCGAACCGGCTGTAGTGGCCTGCGGGCAATTTCGCCGCGGGCCTGGGTAATGGGTAAGACATCTCGTGGTTGGCCTCTCGGGAGCCTCTGGGAGACAGTTTGGGGGCTTCTTGGTAGCAGATTGGGGGCGTCTTGGGGCCTCTTGGGTCCTCTTTTGGGGCCTCTGGGGAGCCTTTTGGGGCGCTTGGCGGCCTCTGGGGGGCCTCTTGGAGCCTCTGTGGGGCGTCCGGGGGCCTCCTGGGGAAGTCTTGGGAGCGTCCCGGCGTTTCTTTGGGGCGTCTTGGGGCTTCCTGGGGGCCTCTTGGGGTGGAGGCCTTGATTTTTCGGTTCCGGGTCCTGGTCTTGGGCCTCTCTTGGGGCATTCTTGGGGCCCTCTTGGGCCGTCTTGGGCGACTCTTGGGCCGTCTTGGGGCCCTCTTGGGCCTTGGGGCCGTCTCGGGCGCCTCTTGGGCCGTCTTGGAACGGTCTTGGGGGCCTCTTGAGCGGCCGTGGAGCGTCGGACAGCCGAAAAAGCGAGAAGGCCAGAAACATTGAAAAAAGCAAAGAACATCAACGATTTTGGCTTCTGCGGCCCCTCTTGGAGGTGCACTTCGAGCGCTCTGGGGGCCTCGTGGAGGCGTCTCGGGCCGTCTTGGAGGCGTCTTGAAGCCATCGAAAGCGTCTCGGATACACTCTTAGACCGTCTTGGGCCGTCTTCGGGACCACCTGAGGCCGTCTTGGGGCGATCTGGGAATCCTGGATGAGTCCGCCAGCGGTCCAGGGGCCTCCCGGGCCCGTCGGGCAGCGGCCCGGAGGCTCTCCGGGCGGCCTGCGAGCTCTCTGGGCGGCCCGGGGCGCTGCCACTGCCTGACCTTCTCGCGCGCGCTTCGCCCGGAATTGTAGTACAGACTAGTGTGTACCCGTGCTTGCTGCCACTGGCGGCGGGGGTTGCCGAACAACCATGGGTGGGCCGCGCGACCGCGCGGCCGTTTGGGGCCGTCTTGGGCGCCTCTGGGGCAGTGTCGGGGCCGTCTTGGGGCCGTCGTGCCCGAGGGCACGAAGATGAGGGGCCCGGAGGCCTCAAAAGGGCCGCAAGAGCGCCCCCAGGGGGGGCCCCACGAGGGCCCCAAACCGCTTGTGCTTGATATGCTTCTTGGGCTTGCGAGAGGGGCACGCGAGTACACGCGTCATGGGGCCTCGTCGGGGCCCTCTTGGGGCCCTGCTGGCCCCCTCTTGGGGCCCCTCGGGAGCGCTCCCACCCTGTTCTGGCCCCCTCTTGGGGCCGCCAGGGGCGCCTGAGGAGCCGTCCTGGCGCAGTGTTGCGCCGTCTTGGGGCCCTCCTGGCAGCCTCCTGAGGCGTCTTTGGACGAC